ATCCACCGTCTTTCTTTATTCGACATATCCGACTGTACACAGCGGACGCGCCGTGATTATTTATTAGCCTAGCATAGCCCGACCGAGCAAAGCGTCGCTGAGGGAAAAGCACTTTCTTTTGGGGCAGCGCTGCTACACTGAAACGGTGAGACGGAGGTTTAACTTCGGATAAATCTGGGTCATTTCTCCGAGCTAAGCCGCCTCCTAACCTACTGTCCGAGTGAGTCAGTAGGCTGCAGCGAAGACTTTCTTGGACGCTGAAGCCAAGCTAAACATAATCTCATGAGCTAGCCTCTCAGCTGCAACTCAGACCCCCACTGTGCTCCGCTGGTTCTGTCTGAGTGGGTGTGCTGGGTCGTAGTCTAGCACTAAACGGGTAAACGAACTGGTCAAATCTGAGTTAGCAGCTGTCTCATGTCGAGAATGTAGGAAAAACGTTTTTTGGGCAGCAAATTGTGTCCTGGCACAGTCACTATAGCAAAGTCCTGGATCCCGTATCAGTGACTGAGGGAGCGTCAATTCTGAGAGCATCATCAAATATCTCAACCAAGAATGGAAGCTCATTCCCGCCAAGAAGAAAAGAAAGATCCTCACATATTTTCCCCATTCTCTGTTTTTGACTTAGTATTTCAAAGTATTGACTAGTTATCCCAAAAATTTGTCTGAGTCCCTCTATATAATGATTATTTTCTCAAAATTTCGACGTAATAGCTCGAACTAATTACTTCTCGAGAGTTTGAGTTATTAAAACGAAATTTCAGTTTACTACGTCCAAATAATACTAAATTTAAAAGGGTAATATTTATATTGGCATAATAAGTCTATTTCGAGAAAATAGAATCTCAAAAGAATATATGTATATATATTTTTTGAATGACGTACTAACACATTATTTTGTCATACCAAGTCAGTGTTTTGAGATACCAAGTCATTATTTCGAGATATTAATTCTTTATTTTGACATAATAAGTCAGAGTTTTAAGAAAATTAGTCATTATTTAGGATACAATAAGATACATTGTCGACAGTTTGCCAGTCTGCAGCCATAAACAGAGAAGGTCCGTGTTTCCCATAACAAAGGTTGTTTTTCTTGAGCCAATAAAAATAGTAAATAAAAATACAAGACCTCAAAGTCCAGCATTAAGATTGATTTCCGCATGTTTTAATTTGGTATACGGGAATAGAGGTGCTCGTAAAAAACTTCAAGGTATTGTTTTTAAAGCTTCACAGATATTGGACATCTCTACCATTCACCTCTACCGGTAGTCAATTCTGTTTACATTCAGTGCCCTTAAACGAGCAATAAGGATATTTTTGGATTCCTCACACCCAGCTTATCTTTTTAATGACTTCCTTCTGGGACAGGCCTGTTCAATTGCCAACTGAAACAAGTATTTGGAACTAAGATGGACTTTAAAGTGTCCCCTACTGCCTGTAATACCCACTACTGTTGGGTTTTCCCCTCTACTGTTGGGTTTTCTTCAGAACCGAAGCAGTAGGCTATTATTTATAAACTGCCTCGCGTGAGTGAATGTAATAGGAAAGGCGATATGTCTGCCTAAACCCGTCGATGAGCGACCGCAGCCTGTCTAGTGTCTGTGTTGCTCTTTTCCTCCTCCACGCCTCTGCGGCAGGGTCCCCGTGAGCCATGTGAGAGAGCTCCAGTACCGAGGACAGTGCTGCGCGCGGCGCAGCGTGACGTCACGAAGCGCCGCGGTCACCGGGCCGGTCCACGTGAGGGGGGCGCTGTTACGAGCGCAGCGGCGCGATGTGGAGCAGCCAAGTGGGCGGTGACCCGGCGCTCTAGTTTCGTGGAAACAGCATCGAGGTGCGGTCAGCGGTCGGCGTACCTACACAGCAAGCGGACGTGTGAGCGGTGGGGCGGGGGTCGTAGGGTACTATTCTCTTTGACTCCTGCTCACAGAGAGTCGTTTCAAAGCTTAAGAAGTCAAGTTCTTAAGGCTGACCTACACGGAGAGGAATTAAATGTAGCCTGAGATGCCCGTTTCTAATAATAAGATCATAAACACCTGACTTCTGTTCTGTGATTGTGCTGACAACCAGAAAATTAATCACGGTTTCCTCCTCACTCCTGTTTATTTCAATGTAACAGTAAATTACAGGTTTAATCACCTTCCTGATAAAATCCCTCCCATTAACTATGTAATTGCCGTCATTTGTTGCTGTATCTGTCGCTCGATCTCTTGCATGTCACTCATTTTATTGTGTAGTTTACTTCACCTTACAGTCCGAGAAGCTACTTACAGAATCAATTTTCCCTCGCAAAGCGTCTTTCTTGCTACCTAAAATACAGCGGTTACAGGCTACAACATTTGCAAATATCAAGCACACGTGATTTTCTACACGTCCTTTATCATCATTCATGGCCATATGAAATACTGGTAGTCAGCTGTCTGTAGCTGCGCTGAAAGCGCCACTACAGTTATTGACATCTTCCTCATTGACATCTTCAACCGTTTGTGAATGAGCGAAGGACAGTTAGCCAAGGACGCCCTCTAGTGGTTACATGCACCACATGCACATCTACTGCTAAAAGCCTGCTGATATTTAGTACTACCTTTCCATGTTCATTCTTAAGAGTGCCTTTCTCTTGAGTTGTGCCTACAAGCCCCCCATCCGGCCAAAAAACACACTAAATGGTAAAAAGCAATGTTTCAAGTGAGGTGAATAGACCTGCATTCATAACCATTTCATTGAAAAGCCTTTTGAAATAAGCCAATGTACCCTGCTAAAAGAAAAAAAAATCATAGAAACCATTAAAAGTTTCTGTTGGTTCCTGGTGGTCTCCAGTAACCACTAATGGTATTCTGTGTTTTCCTGATGGCTCGATATCGTGTAAAAGATTCTGAACGTTTAACAGATGTTCTGGGACTGTTTCCAGGTGCATTTGATGGTTTTCTAATGGGATCTATACCTAGTGGTCTCATTAAGCCAATTCCCATTAGAAAGCAAACTCGTCAGGTTTTAATGGTTATAATTGTCTTTTTTTCAGCATTTCTGCTTCATTAAAACATTCAGATTATTTTGTTTTATGTTGCTAGATTTAATTTTTTCAAATGTAAACACATTCAGAGTGATTTGATATGAGCTAGTCTGTTGTAGAGAGATTATTATTATTGTTGTCATTATTATTATCATTTTTTTTATTATTTATTATTATTAGTAGTAGTAGTACACATAAACTCAAACCAACATTATATGCGGACCTCATAGGAAAAGAAACATAATAAAAAACAAGAATAATATAGGACATTGGCTCTGGTTCCAATCAAAAATTTCTTATCCAATTAGTCTGAATGACTTTATTTACATCTTAACAATTTAGTTATGCAAAAAAGGTGGAATGCTCTTTTAACAGTAGCATATTTCAGGTATACTAACGCTGTGTGATAGATAGCCTTCACACGCATATGAACTTGAGTGGCATCCCATTCTTAATCCATAGGGTTTAATATGATGTCGGCCCACCCTTTGCAGCTATAACAGCTTCAACTCTTCTGGGAAGGCTTTCCACAAGGTTTAGGAGTGTATTTATGAGAATTTTTGACCATTCTTCCAGAAGTACATTTGTGAGGTCAGACACTGATGTTGGACGAGAAGTCCTGGCTCGTAGTCTCCACTCCAATTTATCCCAAAGGTGTTCTATCGGGTTGAGGTCAGGACTCTGTGCAGGCCAGTCAAGGTCTTCCACACCAAACTTGCTCATCCATGTCTTTATGGACCTTGCTTTGTGCACTGGTGCACAGTCATGTTGGGCCCAACTCCTGAAAAACAACCCTATACCATAATCCCCCCTCCACCAAACTTTACACTTGGCACAATGCAGTCAGACAAGTACCGTTCTCCTGGCAAACGCCAAACCCAGACTCGTCCATCGGATTGCCAGACGGAGAAGTGTGATTCGTCACTCCAGAGAACACGTCTCCACTGCTCTAGAGTCCAGTTGTGACGTGCTTTACACCACTGCATTCGACGCTTTGCATTGCGCTTGATGATGTAAGGCTTGGATGCAGCTGCTCGGCCATGGAAACCCATTCAATGAAGCTCTGTACGCACTGTTCTTGAGCTAATCTGGAGGCCACATGAAGTTTGGAGGTCGGTAGCGATTGACTCCGCAGAAAGTTGCCGAACTCTGTGCACTATGCGCCTGCATCTGCTGACACCGCTCTGTCATTTTACGTGGCCTACCACTACGTGGCTGAGTTGCTGTCGTTCCCAATCGCTTCCACTTTGTTATAATATCACTGACAGTTGACTGTGGAATATTTAGTAGCGTGGACATTTCATGACTGGACTTGTTGCACAGGTGGCATCCTATCACGGTACCACACTGGAATTCACTGAGCTCCTGAGAGCGACTCATTCTTTCACAAATGTGTGTAGAAGCAGTCTGCATGCCTAGGTGCTTGGTTTTATACACCTGTGGCCATGGAAGTGATTGGAACACCTGAATTCAATGATTTGGATGGGTGAGTGAATAATTTTGGCAATATGGATAGATAGATAGATAGATAGATAGATAGATAGATAGATAGATAGATAGATACAATGGGATAGCCAGTTACTCTCATGAAACGATAATCCTCATTTTTTACTTTTCCAGGTGGGGTCCCAGTATTGGGTCCTAGTTGGGTCCCCAACTACTGGACTGTTTGATATTTGCTCAGACGTTCCTTTAAAAAGAAAGCTAAAGGACGTCGAATGATTACGCAATGCAACATTTGCATCTTGTTAAATGAATCTGTGCCTAATTGATGATTACAGTATACCGGAGGGCGCCGCTAGGTGGACAAAACCACCGCGCGGGCCAAATAAAGCTCCAGGTCGGCGAGTCGGACAGTAGCCAATCAGATTTCGAGTTTAGCGTGTTGAACGCATGCGCGCTATTTGTATTTTAAAAACACAGGAGAAGCTCGGGTAAGTAGTGAGGCGCGAGGCGCTTTCGGGCGGGGACAGGGCGGTTTAAACAGCGGGTTATTTTAAACTAATTAGCTTCAGTCACTGTCTAGGATTTGTGCTGAAGTAAGCTGTCCACTGTGTCGCAAGGTCTAAAATGGCGTCACCCACTAGCCTTTGCAAACGAAGACGCGGCTAGAAGTGACTGTCATTGTTTATGCTGAAGATCTAAAATGGTGGACACAGCTGCATAGGCAGTGCAAGCTGACATGACGCTGATTTTATATGCCATAAAGTGCTGTTGTTTCGTGCAGATTTTAAAGAGCTACGGAATTATTACACCTCTAAAACCGTGGACGTAGGACAGTAACGGTACATGTACGTAGTAATGAAGCAGTAACGCACAACCGTTTGAGATGCACACACGAACCTGTTAGCGGGGAGTGTTAGCAGGTTAGCTAACGTTAACCAGCTGCACTGTTTTGAAATATCCAAGCTGGTGTGCTAGCATGCTACGTAACCATTAAAGAATAGCAGAAAAAACTCTAGCATGTTCTCGTTGAAGTTCCTGGCTTTTAAATTGCATTGGCAGAGGTCACAGTAGTTACAACCATTGGAGTTATCAGTGTTTCATTGATCAGCTGAAGGGAAACAGTAAAGAAATTGGCAGCAGTTAAAATATTTTAATATTCTCATGCACTGCGTTCTAACGAGGAGTTGTGGAGTCAAGCCTTTACCTTGAGGTTTATTTCATTACTACAGCAAACATAAAACATTTTTTTTTATTTTCTTCTTCTTAGAATGGATGTGGACAAGATGCTTCGACTACACCGCACTCTCTCACTGAGCCCCCCTTAACCGCAGCGGTGGGTGTTGGTAAGCGACCGCCACTCGCCATGACTATGCGCTCCACTGTGTTTACAAGTGGAGGAAACAAGCTGGACACAGACGCCAATGACCAAGGCAAAAAACAAGCGGTAGCTGCTGAATCTCAGACTGGCTTGAAGAAGGAAAGCTGTGAACACCCTGTCAGAGTTCCGGCTGTCTTGAGCACCATTCATAATAGCAGCGAACAGCATCTCCACAGCAAAGCAAAGATCTTCTCAAGCAGTCAAAGTGCAGTGGGCAGACCTGGCCAGTCTCCAACAGTGAGGAAAGGGCAAGAGGAGAACTGGGTGAACCTGGGGTGTTTGACACTTCCACTGGCCAAGCAGATGGGGGCCGAGGGTACCCCAGTAAAAAGCAAATCACTGTTCGGACAGGCCAGTCACAACCACTTGGGCAAGATGGATCCAGTGGCATCCAACGGCAGCAAGCAGCCCAGGAAGGCAGGGCCAGCTGGTGGAGTAGCGATAGCTGGAGTCCCCTCACCAGAACATGGCCCTGATGGAAAACGCCGAAATGTGGTGAAGGGCACCGCCACACAGACTAGCTGCATCCGACAGATCCTGCTGTTACAGCTAGAACTGATTGAACAGCAGCAGCAGCAACTGCAGAACAAGAATAAAGAAATAGATGACCTCAAAGCTGAAAAAGAGATGGTATGCAGAAGCTAACTATGATATTTCTTTTTGGTCTTGCATTATGTTACATTTACACAGGTAATTTACTGTTTCCTACCAACATCATTCTGATACACCAGTGGGATCTAAATGAATGAAATCAGAGAATCGGACCTTTTCAGACAGATAATTTGCCTAAACAACACAACACAATGCAAGTTAGAAATAAATTTTTTTTTATGCATATGCCATGTTTGGTTTTGTAAAAGAATATGCATTATAGACCAAAGTGTTAGCCTAGCTCTTGGCTACACCTGTTGCAGTTTACATAAGCTAATTTTTGTCCATGTTGCCGTACAGTTGATGGCACGCATCGAGCGAATGGAACGGCGGTTACAGGTGGTGAAGAAAGATGGAGTTGAGAGTCGGCCAGCTCAGACTCCTCGTCGCAGGGAGACTGTGGAGCCCGTCTCAGCAGAAGGCACGGGACACTCTGAGGGACAAAGCCACACCCCTAGACAAATGCCTTTTGGAAGGGGTGGCAAGGGCCTGAAAAGGTATAAGTTTGAAAACTTCTGAATACTCTTCCGGCTTCTTTATGAAATGGTTTAGCAACGCCTAAGACCTGCAGTGTTTGGAATGAAAATAATGTTGCTAACCGAAATTTACCATGCAGACAAGAACATGACTAAATGTTCTTTTGCATTTATAGGAGATTCCTTTTCCAAGAGTCCAGGATGTCCAGGTCTAGGCGTGGGCAGCCTAAAACGTCCCCTCCAAAGGAAAGCCAAGCTTTGAAGGAGGAGTCTGAGGATGAGGCAAGTCCTGAGTTTAAGTCTCATGGTTCCTCCCTCGTCGAATCGGAAGAACTGCCTTACATGGCTACGACTGAGATGTACCTCTGCTGCTGGCACCAGCCACCACCGTCACCATGGCGAGATCCATCTCCTGTACAGGAGGACACAGTTGCCGGTGAGTTGAGTCAGTCCTGCAAGCATGCTTGAGCACAATTAGTTTATGCAAATCACTCACAAATCTGGAATGAAATGATGATAATTGGGCAAGGAAGAAGGGCCTTTGATAATAACGTCCCTCTTTCTTGTTTTAGTCCCTTCTTGGCGAGAAATTATTGTGGAACCTCTGGAAGACAAAAAAGCAACAGACATCCCTGAGGTGAGAAACATCAATGCCGAGAGATTGATAAACATTGTTCATCCCTAAGACCACAGAACAGCATTATGTGGCTATTAAATTCATTGAATGACTTGTTTAATTGTAAAGGATTAATACTGGGACTTCAAGTGTACATTAGAGTCTATCAGCATGGTATGTGACCACTTATTCAGTGACTTAGTTATTCTGACTTTGGATTCTAAATTCCGATCTGGGTTGCACCAGTAGAATAAAATTGTAGGAGTGATTTTCTATGGTTTCATTTCTCCATTCTAAGTCTAATACTTTGTATCTGAAAACTGAACTGTAGAGTGACCTAAAAATTATTTCATTCAGAGTCTGGATGACGGAGTTTTCTTGAAGCGGCATTCAAAACTGGAGCTGGATGAGAAGAGAAGAAAAAGGTAAAGTGATGAATCCCCTTTGGGCTCTTGTTGAACTGATTCTTGTTTTTTTCTCCACAAAGTCCCTAATTTCCTGTCTGTCTCAGGTGGGATATTCAGCGCATTAGGGAGCAGCGGATGTTTCAGCGACTCCAGCAGAGGATGAACAAGCGAAAAGTGATTCAGGAGAGTGAGCCAGAGCTACTTTCTTTCTACCCTGAAGCTGAGGATGGTATGTCACTTTAAACTACTACAGTTCACTATGTTTGTTTTGTAAGGGTTATTTCCTTGTTCTGAAAGTCAGTGCAGATTAACCAACAGTGTTCTTGTTTCTCTTTTCCTGCCAGTGGAGTCTATAATGATCACACCATTTCTTCCAGTGGTGGCATTTGGTAGACCTCTCCCTAACATTCAACAACAGTAAGTTTGCTCTTGCCATTCCTAAATGCATATACATGTGCCATAGTACTCTGAGACACTGCTACAGTACTCTGAGACACAGATACGTACATACATTTAATAGAATATTGGCATTGATTCTTAATCAAGATAAAGAAAGTACTCTTGAGCTTTTGTTTACCAACTTTAACATGTTATTTTGTTTACTTTTTCTCTTAGTATATACTGTGCAATGAAATGTTACTTTCTCCAATTTTGTACAGGAATTTTGATATACCTTGGTTGGATGAACGCAGCCGATGCCGCCAAGAAGTGTCCAAAAAGAAGACGCCCCATCGGACCTGCCGCAAGTGAAACAGTCCTGCAGGAGCGATCAGATGAGAGAGGCAGTGGGGTGGCTCACATCTCCCATATCGTGGAGATGCTGCTTCAGCTGTGCTGTCCTGTGGCATGTCCTGTGTGCTGTAGGATCATCTTGGCAATATGCACTCACTCTGCATACCCGATTGCCTTGGTTGCACTTTTGATCTTTAGGCGGACTATGAAGTCATTTTGCTCCTCCGTAAAGCCTTTATTTGGCATTTTTGAGCAAAGTATGTGGCAGTCAAGATGGCTGAAAATCAAGCTTTCAGAAGTTCATGTTTATGGTTGTTTCAACATTGCAAACTGTAACACTTGTTCTCTGGTCACTTTTGCATCATCCCATACAGATTAGCTTTCAAATAAGCAGTATGGACCAAAATTCACCTAACGAAATGAGATCTAACAGAGAATGTCGGACTTGATCGGGTAATTTTCTGTTCATTGTGAATGGATGGTGTCTATCTAAGAAAACATAGTGTATCTTGTAACATAGTGTTGATTCAAAGAATAAGTGTAAAATACTCTAAATGCATCTAAAGATAATATTTCAAATATTAAAATAAGTTCTAAATGAATTGTTAATGTGTTTGTATGTTCAGTGTTATGTTCTCCATGCACACATATTCAGTGTTAATTTTGAGCTTAAACAGTCCTTACCCATAACGCTGCTGCCTTAAATTGCTGTATTTACAGCTCTTTGCCACCCTCTTCATTAGCTGATCATAAGGCATGTTTGGCATACACTGATAATTATATAGTAGTTGAACAGTTATGTAAGGATGATCATCCTCTCTCAAGAATGCTACTAGTGTTAAGAGCCTTGCTGTCATTCACTTGTTTCCTGAGTGGCCTACTCTGTTTTATATTATGTTATGCCATTTTATTTCTCATAAGGTAAGCTCACATATTAAGGATAGGAGCACAGTCTGAGGCAAGTATTCTAGCTGAAAGTAGAAATTGTAATCAGCCCTAATTGAGATACATTGCTGCTGGTTTTCAAAAGAAAACCTCACATCTCCGTTTTTGTTGTTATTTACATAATATACCTCATGTCTCCAAAATGCTAACTTGACAGCAGAAGAAAAAATAAATATAAAAAAATAACAAAAATGGAGATTATTGGAGAAATGAATTAAGAAAGTAATTAAGATTTTTTTGAGAGGATATTTGAAGACATTTCTTTTTCATGAGAATTGCATTTAAGAACTCTGGGCCTTGTTCACCAACTGCTCTTAAGAAGAAAATTTGTCTTAAACCCACTTATCCAGTTTTCTCGAAGATTGTGACATTCACCAATGTTTTCTTCTCTCTTTAAGTACAACCTTAAATTCAAAAATGTTGGGACAGTAGGTAAAATGCACAGCAGTAATTTATAAATGCACTTTGACTCATGTTTAAACAAAACAGTACAAAGACAAGATATTTAATGTTTTACCTTATGAACTTAATTATTTTTGTAAATATGTGCTCATTTTGAAATTGATGCCTGCAACATGTTCCAAAAAGAGTTAAGACAGGGGCAGTTTAAGACTAGAAAAACCCAATAAACACCTTAAACAGGTGATGCAGTCATGCTTAGGTATAAAAGGAGCATTGGGAAAAGGCGTAGTTGATGGGTCAAGGCTCGCTACTTTGCCAAAAAATGCATCAGCATTTGAAAACAATTTTCCACAACGTGCGATTGCATTCAATGAACAGTGTTTGTCGCTATGTCCACAAATACAAGTTCAGACTGTATTATGCACAGTGAAGGCCATACATACACAGTGTTCAGAAACTCTATCAACTTCTCTGGTCTCTGAGCTTGAATATATATTTACAAAAACAATGAAGTATATTGTGTATTTGTATTGTTTTCAATTCAATACAGGTCAAACACAATTGAGCCCTTGCAACTAAAAACAGTATAAGTGACATTTTTGTAAAAATCATATAAGCATGCTATGGCATTGTTTGGCGCCCTGTATTCAAAATTAAGGGTCACTAAAATGTAAATTAGAGGTGGGTGATATGGTAAAAGTATAATATTGTGATACATCAAAAACATTTTCATGATATGCGATATGTCACAATATTTATTTTTTCAGACATCTGATCAGTTGGAGCAGAGAAAAAAGAAGCAGTGGTGCTACATTTAAAAAAACTGTCAATGATTTTTATTTAATATGTGGCACAATTTAGTTGCACTAAATTGAGTTAAACAGGACTAATTTTGTTCTCTTTATAATTAAAAATACAGTTGGTCAGTGTTAATGAAAAAGGTTGCACAAAATAAAATAGGAAACAAAATAGCTAAAAATCCAAAAAAGAGTGGATTGGTTAATACATGGTTTATCATGTAGGGGCTCAATTTACTCATCACTGCTTTCTGTTTTCACTGGAATTTCACATACTTTCCCAACTTTTTTGAAAAAAAAATGTTTGTTTTAAAATATGTCTATATAACTAAACAACTGTATGTTTAGTTAAGACAACATATTATGTGTGTGTGTGTGTGTGTGTGTGTGTGTGTGTGTGTTCCACATACACTGCAGAAAATCCCCTCTGGTCTTTGCCTCTGGGGGTATTTATTATTTTAACTGCTGCATCTAATGAGATGGCGTCTGGCCCCATAAGGCTAGTCCCCCTAAAGACCAGTGACTCTTATCTGGAGGAAAAGAATGTGATCCTCTGTATGTGAGAGCTGAGTGTGTCTTCTCTGTAGATCAGCAATCCAGTTTCTCCAGGAGTTCAACTCATTTCAGCCATCTCCTGAGCTCTGATCAGCTCTGTTACCTCAGAGTGCTTTCAAGAGCGCTCAGTGAAGAGGATTCACTCCGTAAAGGTCCTCTTACCGTCAGCCACTGCTGCCTGTGCAGAGCACTGTTAGGACATGTGAGACGGAGATCCGTTTGCTGGCCAACTGGAGGAGAACCTGAGTGAGCAGCGAAACAGCTGCTTTTTGCTCACCACCTACCTGAACAGTGTTTATAGCCTGTTTCTGCTCCTGGAGCATCTTCTTCCTCTGGATTCTCTGCTGGGATTTCCTTTACACCTCCTTTAACTGACCATGAGAAGACAGATACTATATTCATAGATCTGTTTATAATTATGACCTAAAAGAGTTTATATTAATGGTGGCTAAACAGTTTCACTCTTGCTCTAAAGAGCTTTGGCAATGTCCAGAGGCGAAGCCAAGGAGTGACCAGGGGTGGCCAGTGCCATCTTGTAATGTAGCTTGGCCACATTAGTTATGGAAGGTGAAGCAGTCAGCCATCATCAGTCACCCATCATGGTGAAATGAAGTGTAATTGATGCTTTATTAATTTATATTCGATGGTAAAATGTGTTAACTATCAAAAATTATTTAGCGATAATCATTTATCATGCTAACTAATTTCCTTCTACAGTAGAATACATGCATATGTTGTCGGCCACCCTACACAGTTTGGTAAGCTTTTTAATCATTAGACTCATGTATAGCGAGGTCAGCCTAAATTAATCATTTCTATGGCCTGTCTATATAAAGTTTTAAAGTGAATCTTGTGCGCTGAAAAAAACGATGTATTTAATTTACTAGATTCAAATCATTTCTTCATTATTGACCTAAATACGTTACTCCAACACAGTTTTGTCTTTCAGTTTACTTTCGGCAATAGTAGTATTGATGTAATATTTTATTAATGTGGAAATGATTACAGATTTAGTTATGTACAGAGAAAAAACATGTATCAAGTATGTTTTAATACAGTAATGTTTATTCATTTACTTATACTCTGGGTTTTACCTGGCCACCCCATTTTAAAAGTTCTTGCTACGTACCTGGCACTGTCAAGTACAAAGCGGTAAAAAGAAAGGATTGATGTTGGCAGGGCAAAGTGTTACTGACTGGTCTTACTTATTCATTACTAATGCTGAGAAAGCACAAACTTTGTACCACTTCCTAATTCAAAACACATTCACTTTTTTTCTAAGTAATTTCAAAATCATTACAATTAATTGAGCACTTGAAATCAGTTTAAATTGTATGACTGTCTTGTAGGCTACAAATGATCCTTGTCTAGAAATAGACAAATAGCATGAATAGTTTCTAAAAGACTTCTATTCCTCACCTGTTTCACACTTTTTTCTGCAACAGCTGTAACTGTATCATGGCCTTTGTGTTAATGCAGTGCACACAAATAACAGATGAATCTTTGGTCAGTGCGACAGTAGACCTTCAGCTTCTCCACCACTTCAGCCAGCATGTTGTTTCTGCGTAGAACAGGCCTTGGGGTGAAGGTTTCTCTGCACTGGGGGCAGATGTACACTCCTTTCTGATCACACCTCTTTAGGCAGCCATTAGTACACCCCATACAGAAACTGTGTCCACAGGAAAGAGTCACTGGGTCCTTCAGCAGATCAAGACTGACTGGACAGCTGAACTGGTCCTGATCTAGTAAAATACTGGCCTCTGCCATTTTTCTGCAGTGATCAGTTTTCTATGAACCTCTAAAATCTGACTGAGAAAAATGCCTGAATTAATGTAATGCTTACCTTAATTCAAATGCTCATAACAAAACAATATTGCCTATAATTTTATAATATTGCATGGGTTTCGCTGCTCAACATACCAGCTTTCTAATTAACTAGTTCAATCTTTAATCCTTCAGTCTAGTTAGCTTGTACAGTTTTCTCTGCTGTGTACAGATTGGCTAGTACAACTTGGCGAACTCAGTTTTCCTTCTAGTGTTCCAGTTGGATAATACACTTTCCCCCCTGTGCTCTGATCGGCTATTACAATTTTTCGTCCGTTGCTTTAATCGTCTAGCACAATTTGTTCTCCTGCACTCTGACTGTCTGAAACTCCACTCAGAACCTAATTCAAGTTAATTAGCAAAGACATTTTTATTTCCACCCTCATATAACACCTTGGTGGTAAATGATAAACCGTGGTTCATAATTGATCAAATCAACACTGTTGTAATAAAATAATAGGTCATCTTATCAAATGATTCTTTAGTGTTTTAAAAAAGAAGAACAATAGTAGTACAATAAAAATATAGCTAAAGGGTTTATTATTTATACTAAGTACATATAATGATTTAAACTAATGGTTTGTATTGATTTATAGTCCAGATTTAAACCATATAGAGAATATTTGGTCTCACATTAAACACAAACTAGCTTGACAGTGTTTTTCAACTGTTTAGCCATCAGTGCTGAGTGGAACAATACTGACTCTGTTTCTGTGAAAGACTCTCTGTAAGTTTAGCTACAAGACTTTGACATTTAAAGAAATCAAACTCACGATTTGTTGTTAAGACCATTAAAAGTTGCCATTTTGGGCTTGGCCAAATTCAATTTGATCAACTTTTCATCAGTTAAATTTGTTTATTTTGTTGTTTAAGCACATTTATTGTGTGTTTTTAAGTATTTTATTGAGTGTTTTTAAAATATTTATTCGGATCTATAGCTATATTTAAGCACATTTATTCAGTGTTTTGGTGTGTTTAATGATTTAAATGGGTTAGTATATTTATATTTAACCACATTAATGTTGTGTAAAGCAGCAGTGCAGGGGTGTAGAGATAGTTGACGAGGAAATGACGCACTTCTTAACACCCACATTGCCTTGCGCCTTTCCGCTCTCCCCTTCCTTGTGAGTTAAGATGGCGGACCGGCGACGACGAAGGAGGCGCGCTTCTCAGGACAGCGAAGAGGAGGAGGAGGAGGCTTCGGGCTCCGACAGCGCTGGCTCCGCGTCCCCAGGCGGAAAGCCCCGGGCGAGGCTCTCCGAGCCTGTCGAGGCTCCGGCGGTTCGCGGTGGCTCCAAAAGCGACGTGGAGTCCGAGTGTGTGAGTGTCTCGGGCGGCCAGCGGGGCTCCGGCGGCGGGAGGACCGGGCCGAGTGTCCGGCGGCGGCTTATCTGGCGGGTGAAACGGGTTTGGGGTTATTAACCAACGGACCAACTGGTTGGGGTGGTTAGATAGTACTGGTTGTCTTTTTCACGGTTTTTTTGTGTACATGAGTCACGAGAACGCACCCTCAACCCAGCAGAGCCTCCCCGATGATGCCCGAGCAGAGATGCAGCAGCCTGGTTGTCTGCTGACCGTTAACCGGTTACACAGGCTGTTGGTGGGCAGCAGAAATGGAGAAGATACGCTGAGTCAGAGAACTGTAGTGTACTGTCGATTTTATAGTCCTAACCGTTACTTTTGCCTACGTTCACATTTAGTACGGACCTCATCTGAGTCAGAGAGCTGTAATGTGGCGTAGCTTCAATAAAGCCCGGCGTGTCACTTGAACACATTTGCCTACCTAGTACTTTTTAATGTCTACACTCAGCCACTTTAGAGCTTCTAGAGTTGCCGTTAAGCGAGGTATTTAGAGATTAACGACTGACGCATTTTCCTGATTAAAGTCAGGTTGTGAAAGTGTGCTCTGTCTCTGCACTGGATTGTCTGTTACCTGCCTACAAAAAAGTGTCTGACACTTAATTATCTGTCGACCTATGAGCCATGAGTGTAGAGCTGGTGTGTCTGGGGACGTAGCTGAACACATCTCAGTTTATGTTCGTATTTTCTTTACTGCTCTTATTTTACTTTCATTTTGGCACGTCCTCCGATGTGGATTCGTTTTGCTTCATGCTCTTGATCATGCCGTTTGCCAGAGCTCACCCTCTTGTACACATATTCCTTGGTAGAGTTTGTTTTATGTGGATTATTGTTGTTGACATTGCTTTTATTTTTTTATTATAAAGAATGTAAAGTTTCAAGTAGTTCAGTCAAGTGCTGTAGATAAAGCAGTTATAGGTTCCAGTGCTATGGGAAAAAACAGTACAGAAACTATGATTTGCAGTTAACCAAGAGTCTCACTTTAACTCTTTTCATTCTCTTGTAGGAAAGTGAAGATGGTGTGGGTGAAGGTGAGGTTTTTCTCCACTTTTTGCTTTTTGTTTTGAAGTGCTGGCATCAATGATGTGCTTAAATCAGTCATTAAAGTCTGTGTGGTGTATTCGAATAGCTTATTCTGGTTAATTTTTCTTGCAGCTGTCCTTTCGGACTACGACAGTGCCGATCCGGAGGAGAATGGCTCACACTCTGAGGTGAGTCACCATGGCAACACCAGACTTGGAGGGCTGGTGAGGAAATCTGTCCCCATACAGGGCTTGAGTACAGGACTGATGTTGTGCCTTTGGGTGTTGGGTATTTAAGGTTTATTGGTGTTATGTAGGGGAGAAATGACACACTTGGGTCAAGATTCAATTAGATACTTGACACTGGGTTCACAATTTCATATTATACTTCTATTTTGAACACAGTTTGAATGATCAAAATGATTACTGTGTGCTTGTTGTTGCATAACTTACTAATGAACATGCTATTCTTGGTTGTTTGCAAACTTTGGTGCTCAAACAATGCAGTTAGTAGAATGTTCATTCTCAGCGATGCGTTGTAATGTCTGATATTCTAGCGCAATATCATAGTGTTGCAATGCATTGTTAAAGCCCTTGTGCTGTATAGGTTACAGGTTGTTTAGTGATGTTGACTTTGCTTTGATTGTGTTTTGTGTGTGGTTCGGTATTTTGATGGATATGATCTCTATCTGGCTATTAAGATGTCCTGATATCTGTATCTTTTCTTTGTATTGCTTTGTGGCAGAAGAACCAGATTTGTTCAGTTTCATTGTGCATTGGCTTGATCTGCAGCTGACTGTGCCTTCATGATGAGCAATTTGTAATGTGTTTGACTGTTGTGTATCAAAATTATTATTAGAGAGATTCGTCTGTTGGTCCTCTGTTGAAAGATGGTTTTGATGTTTAATTTCACTGTCATGTGTCAGTGTTTTTCTTGATAATCCCAGCTAAAATTATGACTTATGAATCATGCTGGTTTATGTGGGTGCTTGAGAGCAGAAGGCCTGTACATTGTGTGCTGCAGTTCTCCATGTGCTGAGTTAAATCTAAACAGCCTCTTTTTCCAATGCGGCCGTTTTGCTGGGTGTCCTAGCAACCCTGTTTCCTCAATCTTCTCCACTGTCTGGCTAAATGAACCCCAGTCCTGCACTCGCAGTTTATAGTCTCACTTTAGATGAAGAACTGTTTGCCTTTTTGCTTCCATCTTTTCGTCAGTTTTGCCTGCACAGATATTTGAAGTAATTGGTAGCACCAGTATTTACAGTAGAAAACAGCCTTGTATTGATTTAAAATGCTGTTATTGATCAGGGTGACAATACGGGTTGATATGTTTTATACAAAGCTGATGGCACATGTGACCGTATTTATTCATGGGCACAGACTAATCTTAGTCACAAATGGGAGCCAGATTATTTGAAGTGTAATGCTTTAAGAAAGCTTAGAAACAAGACATGTTGACCTGTTGTATTTTCTCAGCACCAAACAATAGACAGATTAGTCAAGCCCCTTTCTTTTCCTTAATTTGTGTAGCTGGTGTCTTGCTTGAATAGAACCACACCACAAAATTGACTAATTATAGAGAATGTTATGTAACTCTGGCTGAATGTAAATGGCTTGGATTAATCGAACAGCCAAACTCACGTGAAGAAAGTGATGTCTGGTGGTCATCCCTTTAACCTTGTTTTATCTCAGGGAGGAGAAGATGAGGAGGAGGAGGGAGAACACTTCAGTGATGAAGAGGCTGCACGCCCTGCTGCAGAACAGAAAGCTGCAGTGGAAGCTCCTGCAGAGGAGTTGGGAGAGGAAGAAGAGGAGGGAAGGATAAAAGAAGTAAAAGCTGAGGAAAAAGGCAACCTGGCAGGAGAGAGACAGAGTGGAGATGGCCAGGTATGTGATGGAATAACAAGAAATGGCATTTCTTATGGTTTTGTACTCCATAGAAATAAGTGTAATCTCTATAATCTCTGCTTTTCTGCATGGATGTTACTGTTGCCATTGTGTTTTGGTGAAAGGTGTCTTGTCTTGCATAGACACCAGGTGCTGTCTTTTCCTAGCTGGTTATTTTTGAAGACTGTAGTTTGTTTTGGGTAAAGCTTATGTAATAAGTGTGACACCTTTTGCAGGAGAGTACAGATGATCCTGAGAATAAGTCAGCAGGTAAAGCAGGTCAGAAGCTGGATGATGATGAGGACCGGAAGAATCCAGCCTACATCCCCCGCAAGGGACTGTTCTTTGAGCATGACGTGAGAGGCCAGGCCCAGGATGAAGAGAGGTGAGAATGCTGGGAGAAGATGCTTGGAAGTGTCAACAGGTTTAAGAGCTGCAGTGCTGCCCAGTGGAAATTAGTGATTTTATTTTTGATGGTATTGCAAGAGGTGAAAAAAAAAATCTAAGGAAACATCTTTGGATTCTTACTCTCTTGTTTTTCCTTCCTCTGTATTTCTTCTTATTGCTCTGCTTATTACTTGTTACTTCATTTCCAGACCAAAAGGCAGACACAGGAAGTTGTGGAAAGATGAGGGACGCTGGGAGCACGATAAGTTCCGGGAGGAGGAACAGGCACCTAAATCGCGTGAGGAGCTGATTGCTGTGTATGGTTATGACATTCGCAACGGCACCGGGCCCAGCGAAGGCAGACCATACAGGTCCCGAAAACCCAGGTGAGATCAGCAAGACCCCATTCTCTTATCTGCTTTACTGCAAAGCTGTCTTAAGGTGTTTTCAGGCTTGCCGATTGCTCTGTTAATGTGGTTCATTTTGAGGACGTAAGAATACTGCCGTTCAAATTCTGATGTGCACCATATAAGAGACTCTGAGTGAGTCGGTCTCCGTTCTCTTTAGAACAAACTCTGGGGTAGTTTGTTTGGTTTTGTTTGTAGAATGAACTTAAGTCAGACCCAAAATGGCAAAATGTGACTGTTTACATCTTTTGGTAAGATGTGAAATATGTTAGTGTGAACATCAAGCAAAACAGAGTGAAACAATATATCATTTTTGTTTTTGATCCAAACTAGAAGTATAAATGCACATTTAGGAAGCCACAGCCTCCGTTAGGAATTGCATCACTAAAAAAATACATAGAAAAAATTTCTCTGTCTTTAGCTATATCAGCTAGATCAGTGATTCCCAAACTGTGGTACGCGTACCCCTAGAGGTATGTGGAATGACTTTGGTGGTTTGTCAAAAAATTCTAACATTTAATAATCTTTTTTTTTTTTTTTCATTTAAACAGCTGGCTGTACAGCTACTTCCCCAATAACGAATGAACTCCAGACTAACCCACACCTATAATACTGTAATACAGAAGCGTACACCTAAAATTGTTTGTTGTTGTTGTTGTTGTTGTTGTTGTTAAGTATTGTTCGTTTTAAGGTAAACATTAACAAAGACGTTGTTGGACAACGTCGGAAAAAAAGTACTGTATAAGTAAGTAAACATACTCTCAAAAATACAGCAATGGTCTTAAGGCTTAATTGTGTACCATAAATGAGTTTTAAAGGTACACTACGTTTCCTTTTCTAGGCAAAGGGGACATATTTGTACCTTTACATAAGATTTTTTTAAAACGAAAAAGGAAAAAAGTTGGAGATGGAGAATATGGAATAAAAATATGAAGATACCTATGCGAGTATGTTTATATAAGGTGCAAGAGGGGAAGCACAGCAGGACGTTTAATGTGTGAAAAGGGTACAAGACTGTAAAAAGTTCGGGAAGCACTGCGCAAGATGCACCTAATGTTAGCTAGTTAGTTACTTTGCTAATTTTCTGTGTAAGTGGGAATTTTTTTCTGAAATTGTAGATTGTCTGAAGTCTTAATTCTACAAACGAGGCTAGATTCCTGAGGGTAAAAAAACTCATGAAGGACATTAAAACAAACACTAAGAGATGCATAATGTTCTAAAATATTCTTAAAGTCTTAATAATTTTCTTTAAAAATATGATTTGTTTTTGTATGTATACTATGTTATTTGTCATGTAGACTATCAATATCATGTTACATTGATATGTTGTGAAACTCATTAGACGTTTCAGTTCAGTTTTTACCGCCATTTCTCAGTTACAGTCATCCTGTCAGAATGTGCAGACATTCAGTCGTTTTTACTTTGCACACTTCCACATCAGTAAAGGTTCTGGCGCCATTTAACAAGCCTTGAAAATGACCCCAGGTACTATTAATCCCATGTGAATTGACAAAGCGTTTTTACCGACATCATGTCCTGTGGAAAGTGAGTTTCTTTAGTGTGGAGACACTAGAAGAAGCATGTACTTGTGTTCTCTGACAAAGCTAAAGTCAGCTTCTTATTCGCCAGCTTCTTGGTTTTTCCAGTTCCACCTTAAATGGTCCGGCAGTCATTATTGTAACGCTGAGGTGCTAGACTGTAATTGCTGTACCGTTTTAAGGTGGCACAGAAAAAAATTGAACAAGAAGCTGGCAAATAGGAAGCCAACATTAGCCTTGTTGTGGCTAAAATCAGGCCGATATGTAACATTACTGTCCTGTCTCAAATGTACAACTGGGAGCATGTAAACATTACAGAAAACTTTGATTTTATGCAGCCAAGTTAACTGTTTGCTGTGAATTCCCAAGCCAGTGATGATAATGACACACTGCGTTCACTTTAGACAGCCAAAGAAAATCAAAAGTGCTGCATTTTTGTTCATTAGTTTAAAGCACAAGTGTTTTGTGCTTTAAACCCCCCAACATTGGTTTGACAACACCCACTTGATCTCAGAAAGGACCTGTTAAGTAGCTGATCAGTTGGATTAGGTGTGTTGGAGCAGGGAAAGCATTAAATATATGCAGGGCATGAGTATTCCAGGACCAAGGTTGTGAGCCACTGATTTAGTGCACGTGTGCACTTAATCTACAGCTGTTAAAATTTTTCCAGAAGTATTTGCACATGGAATTTCTGTGACCTCAAATCATTTCAATCAGTTGTAATCGCTCTTATTTTTGTAGTGTGTTTATGTTAAAAATGTGAGCTACGTCCTGAAAAAGATACGTTATGTCTTGTGTATTTGCACTGTCCCTTTTCTAGGCACACTGGGTCATTAAACCAAGACCCCAAACGTTACAGAGACAGTGAGAAGCCCACACGCACCTCATGGCAGGGTGCAGCACCTGGCATGCGCAGTACTCCCCCAACCACAGTGACCCTCCACTCTGGCCCTCCCTCTGCTCCCCCTGCAGCCCCCCGGCCTCAGGCTAGGCCCTCCTCCCAGCCGCCTGTGCGCAACTTCCAGGGAGGCAGAGGCCCAGCATCGTCCCACCGCTCTGACGGCAGAGGACATGGAAAGGCCCCCTTTGAGGGGCCCCCGCCTCGCAGCGCTCGTCCCCAGCCTCTTGAGGGTGAGCGGGCACCCAGGCTGAGAGGCAAGGGCTCTCATGGGCCCCCTGCCGAGCGCAGCCCTGCTGTGGTGGTAGAGGACGTACGAAGTGAAGACGAAGAGGAGGGTGAGATTCCTGCTGTGACCACCACCTACACTGCACACCACTACAAGACTGAGAGAGAGACGACTCAGTCACCACGGCGACAGGAATCCAATCTGGCAGCTGAACCAGCAGGCGGGACGGGGCCAATAAGAGAGTCTTCACCTCCTCCAGAAAGGCCTGTGGAGAAGAAATCATACTCCCTTGCACGCAGGACCCGGGCAAAGCCCTCAGACCTCAGCAAGCAAGCATCTCTGGAGGACTCGACACCGTCACTGCAGCCCACCCCTGCAGCTGTCAAGAGCGAATCCTGGCAGGGGGACACGAGCACACAGAGTGGCCTGACAGGACTGGATCAGGACCTGGCACGTCTCAGCATGGCTGGGCAAAACTGGGCCCAAAGCCCACCCTCTTACCTGCCGCCTGAAATGAGGGGTAGGCTCATACTCTTGGCTCTAATTTAGTTCTGTCTAATTAAGTATTATTTCTTTGACTCCTGTAGTTTTTCCCATTTATTTATTTATGTATTTATTTATTTGACATTTCTATTTAAGATTGAAAAGATCAGATTATTGTTTAATATTCATTTCTTGTGTGCAGTTAGCATAAGAGGGTATCAATTGGTTGATTAAGTGATCTTTGTTTTAGATTCATGGGATTTGCAGAACGATAAGAGTTGCACCCCATACACAATGTTCAAGTTTGTCAACTTTTTGTTTTAAATGTTTTAAATATAGTGTCGCTTAGGTCAGGGGCTCTCAACCTTTTCCACCCCAAGGCCCACCTCGGTATGACTATAAAGCCTAGCGACCCACAGAAAAACTAAAATCAACTTAATTGCTCACACTGAAAACCTCCGAATTAGGGCCTGGAAAAGATCAGACTGTCCATTGCACTTTGATCACAGAAACTTGATCACAGAAACTAAGATTTGCAGTTATGTTAAACATATATAAACAAAAATATGTTTGCAGAGGTGTTAAAAAAGGCGGAAAAATTTAAAAAGGTAGATGTAGACTGATTTTGGAAATACTCTTGCGGCTTTCCCACAGAAGTAACTGTTTGGTCTGGAGTCTCTTTAGTTTTGAGGGTTTTAGGGCCTCATTTGAAATAAATCACACTCCACTCACTGGGCCTTTGGATTATCGTCACCACAGTTAACAATAATAATAAACCTTACGTGACATCTTTGTGATTATGTTATCAATTTAAGTTTAACTACTCAGGTTGCTGATGCACAGCCAAAAATCAAATGCAGGTCTCTGCTATTATATTAAGACTCGTCTTTTGTTTTTATCAGCTGCAGCTCAAGCTGCAGAAACGATATTAGAGCAATAATGTGTAAAGAGTCAGACATTAAAACGGGCAGATTATACTGACCGTATACAGCGCTGACATGCTGGCAGAAGCATTTCATCATAAAATGTGTCCCACCAGCAGTGAACTGAACAGCGTTCGTTTAGAAGCAGACAGACACCTGCGCATTTTAACGGACCGGTTCACTTGTTTGATTCAGACCCAAATACGGGTGGAGTGTTGACATATGTCAAAACAGAGCAAACTAAAGCGCACTGAGAAACCTCTCTATCTCTGGCTAACTGTGTGCACTGTACCCCAGTGGCTGCGTTGTCTGAAACTGATGATGTTTAATTAGCCTGCAACTGTGATGTTTTCATTTATTTGTCCCTACTGGCCCACTACGAACTGCTGCCTCCCCCTGAGCACAGGCCCACATACCGCTAGAGGGTGCTTCACAACCCACTGGTGGTCCCCGGCCCACAGGTTGAGTAACCCTGACTTAGGTCACCATTTAGCTCAACGTGAGAGACAATTAATTGTTTGTGTTCTGATATTTCCTTTTCTGTGTTGTATGATATGTCAGTTCATTTAAACCATACATTATATATTATTTTTTTTAGATTTTCTTCCTAATTACGGACGCCTTATTGAAATACTACGATTAGTTCAGATGTTTGTATATTTGAATAACTGCAATTATCCATAATTTAAATACTTTCGCTGCAAATTCCTTGGGCTTGCTTGTCCCAGGATAGCTTAGGCCATGAGATGCCGAAGTCGATCTAGTTGATGTAGGTTAAGTTACTCCCAGTTGAAATTCAAAGGCAGTAGAGTGTATCTTATAACTGGAATATCAAACAGCGTTTATTCTAGTCAACAACTCTGCAAGCACCTCGTCTAACGTTCTGAATTCAGCTCACAGAGACCTTGCTTATTAGCTAATGAGTTGAATCAGGTGTGTTTAATGAGGCAGAATGCTGAAATCTGCAGTGCTGTGCCCCACAAGTACTGGAGTGTGACATGTTGTGGAATGAGTATATTTGTGTAATCTGCATTTCTGGTCTTATTTTTCCCTACTAGGCATCCCTAGCTCTATGCATATGGCAGGTGGTCCTCCTCAGTATGGCAACATTGAGGACATGGTGAGTTCCTAGCCACTGGACAAACCCTTTTACAGGGATCACATGTCCAGCTACCATAAACAATTCTGTTAAGCATGTTGGACCACACTACATCAGAAGCATCTGGAATGTTAGAGGAATACCAGGAAAAACTTGTGTTGACCTTTACGAATACTGATCTATGTCTGGCAGGGTGTTGGTGGTGGCCGGGCTAAGCGGTATTCCTCCCAGCGGCAGAGGCCAGTGCCTGAGCCTGCACCCCTGCATATAGGGGTGATGGAGGGCCATTATTATGAACACAGTGAGTGCATTCCCACAGGCAGCCTTTAGAGGGCACTGTGGGTTTTTTCTTTCAAAACTTTCATCTGTTGGTGATGGTAGTCCTGCAGTTATTTTATTTAACTCTTACTTGTGTAGCATGTTAAGTGTCTTTTGTTGATATTAATATTCTTTTGGCTTGCAGTGCCATTCCAGGGACCAATCTACACACATGGTGACAGCCCTGCTGCCATGCCACCACAGGGTCTGCTGGTTCAGCCAGAGATGCACCTTCCCCATCCCGCACACCCAGGTGAGACAGTGGCCGTTTCTTTGGGTGTCTTATCTCTGCTTAGTACAGTGGTTCCCAACTCCGATCTTGGAGTAACCTGCACTGCTCTAATACACCTGATCCAACTAATCAGCAAACTAACAAGCTTATTCTGAGTGGAAGTGGGCATGTTCAAACGGGGGAAAAACTAAAAGCTGCAGAGCAGGGAGCTGCCAGGACCAGATTTGGGAACTGCTGGTGTCCTCAGTCCCTCCAGTTTTTTCAGACCAATTGTATTGTGTGCTGCAGAAGCTTACAGGGTTCCTATGAATCCTTAGTCCTACATGGTCTTTGAAAATAGTGAGAGAGTGTATTATAAATATCTTTTAAACTATTGTAATTATTAAATTGTAAGGTAATGTTTAAAGACTGGCTTGAAAAGTGTATAGTCTTATTCAGAATAGTACATCAAAACAAAATATCCAATATGCCAATAGTAATATGGCAGTGGTCCTGAGATCAGAAAGTAAATGTTGAAGGACTAGATGGCAAAATCAAATGCGCTGAAAAGACTGTTCGAAAAGAGAGCAGTTAAAAAAAAAGCCATCCACATTGCTTGCAGGCTTCAATAAATGTACTTGACTCATGCAGTGACTGCTCTGTCTTTAATTTGAAGTTTTGTACTCCATCCAGTCTAAAGTATGTTCCACATTTGGCATTTCCATCAACACTTAAATCAGTGCTTCACAAAAGCTGTGGTTGGCTTATGGTCAAAAGCAGATTATTTTTTTCCCCTTGCTGCATGTACTGCATTTGTTCAGACCGTTTACTAACGTGGCGCAAGTGCAGTAGGTTCTAACAGCTGCTACCTGCACATGAACGTGAATACTTTGTACTTGTACCAATTATATTTCACAAATAATTGGCATCATTTAATGGAAAAAGTTTTGTCTTTCAGGCTTGCATCCACACCAGTCAGGAGGGCCTATGCCTAATCCTGCACTCTACGCTGCCCCGCCTGTTTCTATGTCACCTGGGCAACCTCCCCCTCAGCAGCTGCTGCCTCCACCCTTCTACCCCCCACCTGGAGTCATGACTTTCAGCAACACCAACTACCCCTATCCTGCTGGAGCTACACTACCCCCCATGTACCCCAATCCACAGGTGACGATTTCTTTGACACTGTTAAACATCTCAGAGTTTGTCAGTTTAAGAGTAAACTTGTCTGGCATCCTTTTAAATATGAGTCTTGTGTGGGATAATAACTCGCACAGTGTATTCACACACATCCTGAACCTCTCTGTTCATTTTCTTAAGGCGCAGTCACAGGTATATGGTGGTGTGACATATTTTGACACGGTACAGCAGCAGGCCCAGCCCAAACCCTCACCCCCGCGACGCACCTCCCAGCCAGTCACCGTCAAACCTCCCCCACCAGAGGTATTGCTTGAAAACCAAAAAATTCTAAATTCTTCTTCTTCTTCTTCTTCCTTCTCTTCCTCTTTTTCTTCTATTTCTTCTTTTCCCTCCTCTTCCTCTTCTTCTTCCTCCTTTTATTCTTTTTTATTAGGACTAGCCTGAATAATTAGTGCTATTCAGCAAAAGAAGGTGCCTAAGAAATATGTCGGGGCACTTAAAATTATCAGATGATAAGTCTTGTTTATTGTGGCAAAAAAAAAAATTACAGAATTCTAAATTACACTATGAACAAAGAAGCAGCCTCGCTCAACACTTATTGTGGTTCACTGACTGTTGACAGTAGGCTTTGTGTAATCCAAGAACGTGTCCCATATTTTGTAAAGCATCTTAATCTTTTTGTATTCTAGGCGAGCTTTTCAGTTGGAAGGATTATTATAAATCATTTTGCACCACTGATCTTTGACTGGGGGCCTGGACGCAGTCCGGTTAAATAGTGCAGATATGTGAAATGTTTCATTTTTTAACATATCCTTCCCTAATATATGAACAAGTCCATACACAGTGAAAGGACATGCCCTTGTGTTATTGACATTTAGTGCATAGATCTGATCTAGATGGGTCAGGTTTTTGGAATTTCTCAGGAGTGATAAATATCCTATGAACAACCTTCAATAGCCTCTGTAAACTCATGGGAATTGGAGCTTATTAAGGCAATCAAAACAAGTTTGAGGAGTTTTTAAAAATGTAAGCATTGTGATCCTTATCCCAGTACAGTTAGGAAGACCACATGCTTTCCTTACAGCACAGATGATTTCAGTTCATTTGCACCATCACTGGTATACACTTAACATATTTCTACCTACAGGATGCTTTACATTATGGTCAGTTACAAAATGTTACTGTTGAATATTGTTGTCTTTAAGGGTGACTTTTGAGAATGAGTATAGAAATACCACTTTGGAAATGCCAATTAATATTTGAAACCTGCGCAATGCTGTTTGTGACAACAGTTTATAAGAAAAAATAAATATTAAAATAATAATAATAAAATCAATTAGAATGCAAGTTTGATTAAATAAAAGGGTTTTTACTGATGAAAGCAGAAAAGATTTGTATTTTAGAGTATTCTTAAACAGCTAAAGATTCTAAACTGTATATATTGTGAAGAATGGTTTTTAGAGGTTGTCTCATTAACTTTTTGCTTCCTTTGCTGTGCTGCAGGACCAGAGCAGAAAGCCCAGTGAGGAGATTCGCTCCTAGCTGCCGCTGACAGAAGCGGAGGCTGCATCGCTGCCTTCCAGGACCAGCACCACTTGTGGATAAATAGAATTTGCATTCTTGCTTTTTATCTTTAGTGTTTTCCTTTTTTGTTTGTTTTGTTTGTTTTTATTCCTTATTGTTTGATTTCTCATTTGGTCAGCCTTGTCCACATTAACCCTCATGCAAGGTCCTGTTTGCAAGTCATTTCTTGGTCATATCAGTTCTTTTGACCTGCGGTGTTTTTGCCTCTCAGCCAATTGCTGTGTGCTGCCATCACTTTCTCTTTCAAAAAGGCATATCTCGGCCCTTGATGGAAACATACTGTAGAATGCCTTGTAACCATCAGCCTGACATGACGGGAGGTTTTTGCAGCTGTTAACCTTTGTTGTAACTGTCTTCAAATATCATACTAATAAAACCTACCTTTTTCAGGTCAGAAAGGCAGAGAATAGTTAATACTATGTACAATCTTTTAGGTTAGTCATATATGTTAAAGGAGCTACGTGTAAGATTAAATGTGTACCAGTCATGCAGTACATACTTGTTATAAAAGAAAGCTTGAATCTGCATGATCCTACTTTGGTGGAATTTAACAACACTACCACATTTGTTGCATTTGACTGAATGAAACATGACGGCAGAACAGAGGCTTTTGGAATGCCTACTTAGAAGTACAGTCAGCTACAGTAACATTACTATGTTTTTTAAATCCTACAAATAAGTAGTTGCAATTTAAAGAAAAATAAAACAATTCTTGCATGTAGCGCCTTCAATTTTGCATTCACATTCAGCATTAGAAAGCAGTTGGCCTGCCAATCTATGCATTTACTTTAGCTTTTTTTTCCTCCTCCCTCTCTCTTTGTGTTAGTCGATGAAATAAGGCAATACATTTCACTCTGTCAGCTAATAGTGTGGTTTCCGTGCCAGATGGAGAAAGCAGGGGGCCTCGAGCTTTGTGTAACTGTATAATCTTCATCAATAGACAAATTGATTGACCAAAAAAGTAAAAATTTGGCTTCCCAGCTGTGTAAACAGAGCCATAGATTAAAAAGCTCGAGGCATATTAACGCAGGAGTTTGTATTACACCTGTTCAAGGGTCGAATGGAGCACAATGACATTCATAATGATTTGGATCATAGACTGTTCAAATAAACTGGGAGGGTCTCAAACAGATATTGGTCACATGTTTTTAAATCTTTGATACCAGTGTTCTGGTTGTGGTGGTTTTGTTTTTTGTTTTGTTTTTTGTTTTTTCTTTGCCCCACCACAACAGGTTTTCAAGAGTGCTCAACCAGTAGGAGTTGTGTAAACCAACCCTTATGGTGCTAGACTTTTTGTGTAGCGAAGGGTGAATTCCTCACTCTTCCCCACATCTACACCGCACCCTATGAAATCTCTTTGTATTTTTGACATTGTACTGTGTTGAAATAAATACTGTAATACCAGAAAAGAACCGTTAACCTTGCCTGAAAACTGATGTACTTGACAGTGCTACTGCTTGATGATAGCTTCCTAATGTAAGTGTATATAGAATAAATGTATATTGAAGCCTGTGGTTTAAAGAGCAGTAATAGTTGAAACTTGTAGTCATCAGTGGAAAACTGTCACCATGAACAAAGTCGGCAGGGAAACCTAGCCCTGTGTTTTTTTTTGTTTGTTTGTTTTTGTTTTTTTTGTTTTTTTTTGTTAATTTCTAATGGATTAACTGAATGAATTAACTTGCAATTACAAATTGTTTGTCTACTTATTTTTAGATATGCTGAATGCAAGAGTTTTTATTCTTTTTCTCCTTTTAGAGGCACTGTACAGGCATGCATGAGAACATGGATACATTTCTTTGTGAAAGCAATTTTAGATGGGCACCTGGGGCTGAGAGGCTGTTACCTTATACCCCGCTGGGGTCTGTTATGGATGCATCCTTTTAAATGGTTCCATTTATTCGTTCCTGATGACCTGCCAGTATAACTGAAATCCTCTCCTGTGCGCTCTCAGTGTTGTTTAAATGTGGCTCATAAGAAAGTGATGATTCGAGGATGTTACTTTATATATGCCTTAAAAAGTTGAATTGGTTGACATATCTGTTCTGATTGACTAGACCTGCCAACACTGTGAGGGGCTCGTACGTTTCATAGGTGTTTGAATATATTAAAGTGTTTCATTTTTGTTTCTTCTGTTTGTTTTGTGAAGCAATTTTGTCAAGAGAACTATTAAACAAGACCCAAGTGTAATTTCTTTGTGTGTTTTCTTGGGTGGAGGGTGCAGTTGGACAGACGCTGTGTGATGGGCAGAGAGAGGGTCACTTCAACCAACACTGGCACTGCGAGCATTGAACGTGCGAGACGTCTAGGTTTTGTTAAAACGCTCTGTTATCCTGATTGGTATGTGGAAGCCAACGTGGTGCAGATGGCTGCATTTTTTTCCCATGATGAGTAACGTCAACAGTGCATCTTGTTGGGTTTCTCGTCTTTAAAGAAGCTGATCGGTTTCCTATCTGAACTTTAGCTGGGGACGCCAGAACGGAAACCCAGAACAATAAACCACCAGGCTGATTGTGGATTTGTCAGTGACTCTCTGGTTCCCTCGTCACATGCCAGTGCTGACTTTGCCAGGAGCGCAGAGCGAGCAGCCTTCTGCTGCTGCCATCTCAGCCAGGCAGGAGAGCCAGAGTGTTCCGCCCACAGCGCTCCATTACAGTGGAGCTCTGCTGAGCCATTAAAGAGGGACAGGCAGGGCCCTTACAGCTGCGACTCTGCTACTGCTGCGAGTTTGAATTTGTTTGGCTCATGGCGTTTCATTTCGGCTTAAAGGGCCACTCCGGCCCAAATGAAAAATTTCACCATTGATACATCTCTTGTAAACACGCCTACTTGCATTCTGCAGTCGTCTGCAGTGTAAGATTTTTTGGTTTAAAGACTAGGAATACCGCCTTATGGTGATGTGTCCTAAAGGTGGGAGCAAAAACTTAGCTTCAGGGTGGATTATTTTTATTTATTTATTGTAATTTCTTTTCCTTTTTTCTCCCCAATTAGTTGGTGAGTGCAGAAGGAAACTAGATACCTAACATTACTGCGAGGAAGCCAAATACCTTATAGCAATATCTTTTCTCTAGTAACTGTCAAGGCAAACAGCATTTACTGGGATTCCTAATTGTTGCATGTATTGTGTATTTGCATAGTGCATGCTGGGCATTGTAGTGCGAGAACATTGACAGCAATCACAAAACTAGCATGCAAAGCAACTGAAATAAAAAATAAGAAAATTTTGAGATGCACAACAGAACACTGCTTAACAAATAACATTTAAACTTAGTTTTCGGCTAGAATGATGCCTTAATATCAACTCACTTATGATCAAAAATATTAATGCAAATAATGCAATTAATCTGTATGGGTTTGGTGTATTGATTTTCCACGATTTAAGCTGCGTATAGTTTTGCAAGGCAGGACTGTTTTGATTCATTGTTTTTATTGCTGGGAATAAAGTGTGCGTAAATGCAGCTGTTTTACACATGTGTGTACTTGTTATGCAGAGTTTTGGTATAACTGCGGAAATGGTAGATTTGGCCACTTGGAGGCGCTGATCCCTCTGATTTATAACCTCCTGCTTATTCCAAACTTTTGCTGCACTTAATCAATCTTAATAATCTTTAATTCTCAGATAATACAGGGACAGTGTAAAGAAACAACGGAACACAGTTTGCTTCTTAATTTCAAGTGGAAGTGTGAGAGACAGCTGGGCTTTGTTTCAACACTTTATTCTTCTACTTGCAAATAGAAGCCAAGACTGTGCAGATGGCTTTTTCATAAGTAGTAGTTTTGTAGTTTGGGGGGAAAAAATGCTCCAAACTAGCAGAAACCTCTCTGAAACTGAACTGGGACCATTGAGAAGAAAAAATGTGTTCAGACGGTCATTCCTCGTCACTAAACTGAGCAGGTTACCCTGTCTTGGCAAGGATTCAGTTAACAGGAGTTAACAGGATTTTATCGTTGTGTTGGTTAAAGGGTACCGCCACCGATTTTTCAAAGTTTCTGCATAATTAAATGGTCAGCGAAATCATTGAGAATGGTTCGGTGTGAAATGCCCTAGAGAAACTTACCAACTCATAATTGTTCACAGTGGTGGCGATAAGAACCAGACATCTGGAGAGTTTAATGCCTCTAAACGCTTCATCACAGAAAGTTACTACATGAAATTAATATGCTGCCTGATGTCTGAGTCACTGTTTTGCAGCAGTTTTGCCATAAAGTTTTGGCCTAATTTTTTTTTTTTAACATTTATTTTAATCCATTAATGGTGGAGGGATACACGAAGGATGTTCTAAGGCAAAATAGTCCCCAAAGGAAAGGTTTTTTAGTTTTATTACTATTTGGTGACTATATATTTTTTTTAGACTTATGACTATTTTACCATCATTGACATGACATATAAAAAACTACTCGTAAAAATACACGTGTAGGTTCACTGGAAGTTTTGGATAGTAAATATCTATATTTATGTTGTATACATTGGGACCCTTGATTCCAATCACCACCACTGTAAGGGAATCAGAGTCAGTAAGTTTCTCTACAAACGAACCATTTCACATCACTTCGAATGAGTTTGTTTATATCTCAGCCACTGTATGATACATAAATTTTGAAAAATCGGTGGAACTCCCCTTTAACTTACCTGGTTTAATCAGCGCCAAATTCTCCATGTCAGTAGCTGCTGCCCTCGCGCGCACAATCTTACTCTCAATTCAACGGTCACTCAGCGGATTAGCGCGACTGCTACAGGTAAGGAAAACTGTTTATTTATGTTGTTGTTTTTAAAATATAATAGGACAATTTAATGTTTTTAACAGACTTGTAATGATGTAATTATATCATAATGACGTCATTTTGGGAATCAACTTCAGTTCACTGTATGTCAGTTTATTGTGGCCTAGTTTACTCCATCTCTTTTTAGTCAAGCCAGCTATCCTAGCATTATTTCATAATGAGGTAGATCGGCATTTATAGTACTCACTGTTATTTTGCTTTGTTTAATGGAGTGTTTGGGATAGAGTGGTGTGATAGCGAGAAAAAAATGTCAGATGATGAGTGATAAATAGGCTTTTAATCTGTCTTCGTCTGGTAGTGGCTAGCTAAATCAGCTAACAAAGCGCTAAGTTAGCATTAGCGTTAGCTTGTATTCCGCTAGCACTGCATGTGAACAACGTTAAGTACGCAACTAATAGTAAACTAGTATGTAGCATGTACTTGCTATATGTTTTAGAGTTCTTTCCACATACAGCTTATTTAGCTAGCTACTGAACCAAACTCAGTTTTGTTAAAGTGGAACTATAATCAGCTGCAACTGACCTCTGTGCTTTTTGTGTTCACAATGTAGCGTTAAGCGAAGTATAAAGGGAGCTCAGTTCTCTTTCTGGTCCTAATTAGCACTGATGAGATATCTGTTGTCTTTGTTATTATTAACTCATTAGATCTAGGGAGCAGGTTAAACTAGGGATGCACAATAACAAATTTGTATCAGTATCAGCAGATGATTGCGTTAAAAACAGTTATTGGCATTGGATAGATGTTTAAATTTGACTGATATCTTAAACTGATGGTTGGTGACATATCTGTTGTACTCTGGAAGAGCAGAATGTTTAGGTGACACTGGGTTATTATGCTAAAATATCTGTGTTTAGAATAATTAATTTTACTACATTTGCAACAGAAATAAATATTGTATTTCTCTCTTATGGTAATTCAGGAACATGCAGATCCAGTTTTTGTATTTTATAAATGGTTGTGTATCAGCACTGACAGAAATATACATAAAAAATATTGGATATTGACATTGACCCAGAATTCCCATTTCGATACATCCCAAGAATAAACCCACAATTTGAGCACAAAATCCAGGTAAACTTTAGAGTGAAATGTAGAACAGCAAAAGCCTAGTCACTGTTTGCTGAGTAGATTTCTATTTTTTTTTTCATTTGTAAATATACATCCATTCCTGCCGTTCAGGCCTGCAGCACATTTCAAAAGCAGTTGGGACGAGGGCAGTTTAGGGCTAGTAATGAGGTAAAATGATTAAATAATGATGTGATTTGAAACATGTGATGCCAACAAGTGTTTGTAGTCATGATTTGGGACAAAAGCAGCACACACTTTGCCAACAAATGCAAAAGAAAATTATTGAAATGTTTAAAAACAATGTTCCTCAAAGAACGATAGAATGGGATTTGGATAGCTGGAGGAATCTAAAGGAATTTCATTGTGTAAAGGGAAAGGGCGCAAGCCTAAGCTGAATAACTGTGCTCTCTGATCCCTCAGACAGCACTGTGTCAATAACCGTCATTCATCTACAAGTGATACAACCACATGGGCTCAGATTACTTTGGTAAACCTTTGTCAAGCACTACAATATGTAGTTACATCCACAAATGCCCCATATGAAAAAATATATACTCCAAATGTATTTATCACATATATTTTTGCAATGTATGAAAATGGCCAAAATAGGTATATTTATTTGTTAAATATATTTTAAAAATGTATTTGTTTGTATTTGTTATTGACTTTACATTAACCATGAACATATGTGGTAAGACAGCGCTCACACAAAATGTATTTCAAATAAATTCAAGTAAAATTATATTTGGTTAATATGGCAGTCTATTCTAACATATGTTTTAGTATTTGGAATGTATTTCGGCATGGACTACAATGTATTTCAAATGTATTTTAAATATATTAAAATACATGTCCTTACATTTTTTTCATATGGGACCAGTTAAAACTTAGCCTTATGTTAGCAGTGTCCAGAAGCGCCGTCAACTTTTCTGGGCCTCAGAGGCATCTGGAATGGACCATCACACAGTGGAAATGTGTATTGTGGTCAGATGAATCAGCATTTCAGGGCGCCGTGTGTCCAAAGATCAAAGGAGCATCCAGATTAATACCAGCAGTTGTTACCAGATTGCTGTGTCAGTGCCCTTGGCAAAGGTAACCTACACTTCTGTGATGGCACCATTATTGCCAAAAAGTACATAGAGATTTAGGAGCATCATATGCTGCCTTCAGGATGACATCTTCTCCAGGGATGCCAATGCTTATTTTAACAAGACCTTATCCTGTACACATTACAAAAGCATGGCTGCCAAAGAGGAGGGTGTGTGTGATGGACTGGCCTTGCCTGCCGTCCCGACCTGTCCCCAAGAAGACTGGCACGTTTTAAACCACAAATGTGACAA